AAATTTATTTATATTTAATTAATTAAAGAATTATAAATATTTTTGTATGTAAATTATTGATGCATAGAACATATCATTAAAATATAAATTCTACTTTATACTAAAGTATTATTATAATTTAAATATGCAATGCTATCTTCTAAAAAGTTGACTGTAGATATGAACCATCATCTTAAACAACCTATATTATTAGATTTGATGAGTCAAACTTATTATTTACTTCAAACTTTTAATTTCTTTTCTTCTCTTTTGCAACACGAATGAAAAATAATGTAAATGTAACATTCAGTATGAATAACATATTTTCATCGCAAAAATTAAATTTTGAAATAAAAGTTTAAGTATTCAAAAAATCTATCCCGTGCCTACTTTTCGTCTATACGATCAGCGCACATTGGCCAATTCTTTAGAGCTCTGTAAGACCTAATTTCATACCGATTTCCTAACGTCCCATCAGTAACCAGTTAGATAACTATACTTTTTCAACAGATATACATACTTTCAAACTATAATGTTATACTCTGAAAACATAGAACAAATAAAAATATGAATTTCTTATGATCTTATACATGTATGAATTTTTGTTTCAAAAGTACGACAAGTCGATCTACCAAACAATTAGGCCGCCTCACACAATAACTTAAGATCAAACACTTATTTCAATTCTCACCCCACTAATCTTTTTCTTCTTTAAGAGTTGATTCAATGCACGTTAAGACACTAAATTAATCAGTTCGATAATGCTTACATACCGACCATTGACACATCGAATTGAGTCTACCAATCACATGTCAAATTCATGTGATTTTTCATTTAGATACATACTTACCATATACAATATGCTAATTTTTATACATCAGTTTGTGGACATATTAACTCGTGCCCGAAAGCAGGACTGTCGACCCGTCATATTTCACTTTAGGGTTGAAAATAGAAATACACCAAACTTTACATAAAATTCCCTAAATAAAAAAAAAATGGATATAATAAATACAAGTCTCATGGAATCAAATTTGGACAAAGCCTTGTGATTGGAGTAATTTACTAAGTGGAGGGGAGTTAATAAAATGTTGGACCATATCAATGGTTGGTGCTGGCAGCAAAGATAATGAATTTAAGGTCGTGGGCCTATTTGTCCTTCCCAATTAAAAACCATTTTGGGCTTCGAAGCCCTTTTCAATTGGCTCCCTATAAACGCACTCGTTTCTCCCTTTGTGGGCCCATTTTTTGTCTTTTCATTATACCAAAATCAATCAATTGGGACATATATATCCCTTCAGCAAGCCCACAGGCCCACAGAAATAAATTATTATCTTTTGCTCGCTTAACTGGACTTCCATAAATAGCCTTGGGTTAGGCAAAGACATCTTTCAATTATTTACGGCTCGAATTAAATAATCTGTCCATGACATTACGAAAAATAGGCTCCGCAATTAGTAAAGATTTTTTTATATTTTATTCATTATTTTTTTAAATTTTTTTGGGACTTTAAAGTTTCATTATATTAATATATTATTATTATTTGTAAAAAAGCCTTGAAATTGAAGCAAGTGCAATTTTCTATAAAATCACCAATAGTATGGAAAATGTAATGAAAATTAATGAAAGCAAAAACAATTTTATAATAAATAAAATAAAAAATGTAGCCATGTATAGGTTCTTCATGTCAAATTATCCATGGCAGATAATCAACTCTAAAAAATTAACGAGGAATTAAACGTGATTTTTTTTTAGTTCGAACTAAAGTTACATAACAATCTTTATTTTAAAACTTTACAAATTGAATTGTTAACTAAACGAGTTTTAAAAGAATCGAGCTTATGACAGCTTGTTTCGTTTATCGGTTCTACTAACTGGCCAGTCAAGTTATGTATTCAATTTATATCAATATTTATATAAAGAGAATAATCATTTACTAACATTAGTAGCTGTTAATGTATATATTTTTTGGAAACTTTTCAAATATATGCATTAATTGATTTCATATACACGTTTTCAAATAAGATCATATCAGATATGATCAAAATTATTATTTTCTTAAATAATTTTATTAATATCTGCAATAATTTCATTAATATTCATTATAATAAACTACAATATTGATTTTTCGTGATTCATGTTGATAATAGTTTGATCAAGATAAAGATGAAAACATATTTTAAGTTCTAACCGTATTATTAAACTTTTTTCACAAATATTGACTTTTTATCCTAAAATATTTATAAAATATTGTGACATGCTACGTATAAATTTTCTTCCAATTGATTAGGCGAAATCAAGTTGGTGAATTAATCTTTGCCAATATAATTTTTTCTTAAGCTTTATTTTATTATAAATAAAATTAATATAATTTACCATTTAAGAGATAATGACCAGATACATTAAATAATTTTACTAATAGTAAAAAAATATACTGAAATATATTAGTTGTTATTTAGAATTTATACATTATTGTCAACCATGTGTAATTTTTTATCATGTTTTTTTTTTAATTTCTTTCTATAATGAAATTCTTTTAAAATATATTTTTATTGCAGTATGCTAAATAAACTATAAAGTCTATGATGAAAACTAGAAAAATCTTTTGATTATATAAGTGATTGAGTTTTTGGCTTTTGCTAAATCAAAGTTGTATAATTAGTATACAAAATTAATTATAAAATACATGTGTGTATATTTTGTAAAATATTTATACACTATTTAATTATAAATATATTTATATAATTTAGATTTATTACATAAATAAATAATACTAATATGCACTAAATATTTTTCATTACATAAAATAAAAAGAAAAATAAGACATACTGCTTCTACAACTTTTATAATAAATAATGGCATTATATGAAAACAAAGATTAAAATAAAATAGTTAAGTATTATATGGTGAACAATAATAAGTAAAAATGTTATATTTTCTTATATCAAGGAATAAATATATATACCAGTATCAAATTTATGTTAGTAGAAATGTATTAGCAAGATAATATATCACTTAATTAACAGACTAGCGTTAACATGCTCATATTTAATGTTTAGGCTAAAAAACAATGTTGATTAAAGAGGTATAAAATAGATTAGTCAACTCTATTGTTTTTTAGGTAGAGTTGGTGACAATGACTCATTTAATATCTCTACATATCGTGCATCGTACGGACTATGTACTAATTTAAATTAAAAACACGAAAAACAAAACACTTCACACAGTGGTGAGTTTAATTAATTCATAGCACGCACAGCAGATACGATTTAACTATTTCAATGTACCAGATTGAAACATTAAATTAGCATAGAAGATAAATTTATGACAGTAAGATATGAAATAAATAAAGTATCATTTTGGGTGGTCCAGCGAATATAACTAGAAATGCTATAAATATAATCAAGTTAGTTATATGAGAAATGCAATTTTAACTCAAATGTGTGCGCCACGTGGCGCTCCGGGCCGGAAAATAGTAAATCCGGCGAAAAAGTCCTACTTTTGATCATTTTTTAAAAGTTGTGAGACTATTCATATTTTGTGCATTCCGTTGGGACTAAAATTGTCACCCCCTATTTTTGTGGGACTAATTTTGAAATTTTTCCGGAGGATTCAAACTTACTAATGATTGTAATGTAATTATCGAACTTTTAACATTGCATTAATATGCTTAAACAGTTGTGTTACCATCTAGTGATTGAAATGCACCGAATCCGAAATGAATATAACGAGAAAGTTTAAGCCCTTGTGCACATACTCAATAATCCAATGTTATTAAAGTCATGTAACACATTTTCAAAATTAGACCTAATTAGCTAGGAAGCCTAGAAATGTGGCCGAGAATAGAAAATTGGTACATCAAATGTTGACCATATCAATTAAATGTGGCTTGAAAATTTTTAACAAAAAAATAAAAATAAAAATAATTATATACATAATTTAATTAGTAATGAGTGAAGCAATGCATGTCATTTCAAGTTGGGCACAGAAAATAATTTGCAGTTTTTTGGGGTCAATTATTTGGCGATTATTGATGGAATTGTTAAATACTGTGCTGTTGACGAAATTCGTACTTCGATCAGTTATTGTGGCCGTATTATAATTATTTAGGGATGGTTAATAGTGATGAACCCTAGTAACTTTGTAATATTGGATTTGAGATTTTTGTGATATAATTAATTTGATTTTTGTGTCATACTTGAAATACTTTAGCCAATTTTCAAGTAGTTCTAAATTCTAATTGATTGCTATCCCATTACCCTATAATATTTGCAGATAAGGACTCTAGCTAACTAGTTAGGATTTGACCTATTTAGATTAATAGACTTGCATTAATTGGCCTTTGAATTGTAACATATATGTAACACATTTTCTTAATTTGCTACTTATTATCCAAATTAGTTGGTTCTTGTTCCCTATAAGGGCATATATATCCACACTAGCATTGCTATTTATATTTTACAACAATTAGGAAACTATAGTTGGAATAAAAGTCAAAAGGTCCATCCTACATTACTTATTCCATTGAATATTTATCCTCTATGACATGTTTTTGAAAATCTTGAGGCACCCAATTAAAAACTAAACAAAATTTATAATAATAACCAGGCGACATGAACCGACTCGTTTATCAATATCATAACCGAGCAGAGTTGAGCTTATGAATGACTCATTTTTTTTTAACAATTTTAATTAAAAGGACCAAAATGAAAATATAAAATGCTACATGCAATAAACAGTTATAAAGATGATAACATCCAACATACACGACTCTACAATTTCATGAAATTAAGCCCACTACAAAAGTACGAAGGCTTGTCCAATTAATGACTTTGGAGGCTATCATAAAACTTTGATGAGGTCGGTGAAAAAAGGGTCTATTAAATTTTTCCTTAAATTAGTAGCTACGTAAAGGACATTCTTGTCAATTCACTCTAACATTCTTCTTTCTTTGTCTACCAATTTTTCATTTTTCCTTTTATTAAGAAGGAAAAATTAAATAGCATCATCATATTCTCATCTCAGCTTCTCTCTCCACATTTACTACACACTCTTACTCTACAATTCTAATTTCTCACTATTTAAAATTAAATCTTTTCTCATATATAAATACACACAATGCAAGTAGAGCCACATACCAAAAAATTCATCTTTTGTAGTTTACATTATCTCATTTTCCGGTAATGGGCCGGTCACCGTGCTGCGAAAAAGTTGGGCTGAAAAAGGGCCCATGGACTCCCGAAGAAGATCAGAAGCTCTTAGCTTATATTGAAGAACACGGCCATGGCAGCTGGCGGGCCCTACCCGCAAAAGCCGGTAATTTTTTTATTTTTTATCTTTTTTTGTTATGAAATGTTGGAATATTGTTGATATTGTTTTTCTGAGTATAAAAAAACTTCCAAGTGGAATTATGCTTTTTTTTTTTTAATTTATTTGAAAAATTAAAACTGTCTAATTCACCATTGAGTAGACTAGTAGTAGACTTAATCTTTTTTTTACACAAATGATGAATTTAGTCTGTCTAGCTATAAATCGTCATAATTTCTTATAAAAATTAATACGTGATTATATTATGTAATAATATTTTTATTTATATTATATTTGAATTTTATTTTGTGATTGTAGGGTTGCAAAGATGTGGAAAAAGCTGTAGGCTGAGGTGGACTAACTATTTGAGACCTGATATCAAGAGAGGAAAATTCAGTTTACAAGAAGAGCAGACAATCATTCAGCTCCATGCCCTATTAGGAAACAGGTAAAATTTGAGATTAAATTAAAACATTTTCTAGATTTTGTGCAGTCATGAGTGTGGTAAATGGTAAAAGGTTAATCATAACCCACTCATGATGGGTAAAATTAACTTCACTCACTTGGGTAACTTCTGCAGTCAGTTTTCATTNTATTCATAACTAAAAATTAGGTAGATTTCACTCTTTAAGTCTTTTCTGACCAACGGTATAAAACTCGATAATTGCACTGTTTTTTGACCTAATCTTACTAAAAAATATCATACCTTACATATTGGGAATTACATCATTTACATCACATTTTGGGTACATTAAAAACCTCAATTTCCTCACACAAAACAAGAAAAAAAAAAATTGTAAAAACATAGTTTAATTTTCACTCCAAGAATCATGTATTATTTTGTTTTGATTATGTTTGTCATCTTCTTTCAAAATTGATCATTAAGGTGGTCGGCCATAGCCACTCATTTGCCGAAAAGAACCGACAATGAGATAAAAAATTACTGGAATACCCATCTCAAGAAGAGGCTAGCCAAAATGGGCATCGACCCAGTTACCCACAAGCCCAAAAATGACGCTCTCTTGTCCAGTGATGGCCAGTCCAAGAACGCCGCCAATCTTAGCCACATGGCCCAATGGGAGAGCGCCCGCCTCGAAGCCGAAGCCCGTTTGGTCAGGCAGTCCAAGCTTCGGCCCGGCCCATCACCTCTCTTTCAGGTCTGAATTAATGTATTGATACATGTTTGGTATGATTAGTCCTTTGAATTTATAGTCAAATAGCAATAATAGATATAAAGATGAAACATAACCACTTATTGTGAAAATGTGAATGATAGTCAGTTTGCTCGGTAAAATGACAAGTTTACCCTTATTTTTATATTTTTTAATAAAAAATAATGTATATAATTCTATAACAGAAATCGTCTATTATAGTAATAATTTTAGAAATCGACTGCAAATTCAAGACACTGATTATGTGTTTCAGAAATTAATTACAGAATTGGAGATATTGTTTAAAGGTTTCGGAAAGCTTCAAAAGTCATTTCTAAACTAAAGACATGGTTTTCCGTTTGAGTGAAAGAGTTTGGAGGGAGTATTATGGTCATTTTTCATGTCAAAATGGCTAAAAATTGATTGTAATTCATTTTTTACAAATTGAAATGATTACTTTGTGATATTTTATCACAATTATTTTATAGGATAAAGTTCATGTATGTATTATTAATTTGTAAATAATTTTGGATGAGTCGCAGCTCAATTGTTGCTCCATAGCAAAACTGTGCAATTAAGAATTACTATGATTATAATAAACAAATATATGTATATATATTAAACAGAATCAAGGCTCCGATCAATTTGCCTCCACCTCGAACCAGATCCAGAAGCCCGCCGGCGGCCCGGCCCGGTGCCTCGACGTGCTGAAGGCGGCGTGGAGCGGCGGCGGGATTTCTCCGGCTGGGATGGACGGTGACTTGGAATCGCCGACGTCGACGCTGAGCTCCGCCGCCGGTATCACGGACGGCGGGGCAGCCAAGGAAGAGTCGGAGGACGACTGGCGGCGCCACCTGGCGGAGTACAGGGACGGGGCAGGGGACTCGATCCCCCCGCCGCCGCCGCTTCAGCCGGAGGAATGGGAGTCGCCGCCGCCGGAGCAGGTGCCCGGTGGGAATTTCGGTGAGAAGTTCACGGACCTCCTGCTCGGCGCCGCCTCCGGCGGACGGAGCGCGGCGGAGGACGGCGGCGAGTCGGACAACAACAGCGGCAGCAGCGGCGGCGCCGGTGGCGGTGATTGTTACGAGGACGGGAAGAACTATTGGAATAGCATTCTGAATCTGGTGAATTTTTCGCCTTGTGATTCGCAGATGTTCTGACTGCGGCAAAATTCGTGTGCCACACGATCACACACGCTCGCACGTGTGAGTGTGTATATCGTGTGGTACCAATGGTTCATCTGCCACTTTCTTTTTTTTTTTATTTTTTCTTTCTTTTTTTGTTAGCCTTTGGGTTTTGTGTGTGTGGTTATTAATATCAAATGTGCGATGTTGATATAGAGAAGTAGCTCCATTTTAATTGGTGATTTCTAAGTTGAGAAATGAAATAGGGGCTCTGTTAATAATAATCTTCTGCTAATTAATTTTTCTGATTATAATTAACTCATCGTTCACTAGAGTTGAAGCAAATATATGATCTCAAATTTTACCAAAATATTTCAACCCGTAATTAATCTCAAAACTAGTTGTCCACAAACACATTTCAGTTCGACAAATAAAAGCTCGATTCAATTCAAACGTTTACTTAAACGAGCTTATTTTGAACAATTATGAGATTGTTTAAGCAAACAACTTATTTATTTATTTATTTTGTAGATTTCGAAAGAAAATCGAGCTGAACATTATTCAGAAAGCACAAATCATGTCGCAAACAGGCCGTTTACGTGTTCGAGTCGACCCACCTGATTTAAAATTGTCATTAATTAGATTGGTTAATTTTACAAATATATGGACAAAAATAAAATTTATGGCCAAATTTATTTTCAACTATAGTTTTAGAAATTTAATTAGGTGCTACTATTGACTAGTTGATAGCCAATTTAATTGACTAAGTTTAATACACTTAGATCAGTTACGAGATTATTAAAAAAAAAAATCATATATTAAATATAAATATATCTTGAAATATTACAATGTTGTCTACTTCTCACCAACCAATGTGCAATAATATAATACTCATAAATAATATCATAGCTGAGATTAAATTTAAATAGTTAAGTGGGATAAGTACTAGTTTCAACTTAATAATTTGATGATTTGAAGCTTATGTTTATTTTATTCTACAATTATAAGAAAATGAGCTAAGTTTACTTGCTATTAATATCTTCATATAAAGTGAATTTCTATAAAAAGAAAATGAAAAATAATTTTCATATTAGCGTAATTAGCTTAAACTATGATCAGATCACCTAATTCATTGGTACTAAATGAACAATGGACAAGATAAGAAAATGACAATGGGCTAAATTGTGCTTGACATATAATTTATTGCTATTAGTTGAATGTCACAATCGACCAAGAATATGGAGCATCTTAAGAATTTTTTGGTCAACTATACAGGTAAATATACATGAAAAATATCGTGCACATGCAAATTAGAATTTTGTACCTAAAAAGAATAAAGAGTACAACTTTTATTATTATTGTTTCAACAAGAAGAAAATAAAAATAAAAATATTGTATATATTCATTTTATCACACTGCTTACTCAATTATACTCTCTTAATAATTAAACTAGTACGACACCCGTGTACTATACGGGTTGTTTGGAAAAAAAAAACATAAAATAATAGAAAAAACACATGTTGTTGTATAACTATTTCAACTCTTTAAAATATATTAGAAATATCATGTAATATTCTATAACTATTTCAATATATTTTTATAGATATTCTAAAAAGATTTAAATAATTTATTTACATGGTGTTCATCAAAATTTATTTTATTTTTATTTAAACTCTTTAAAATATATTATAAAGATCATGTAATATTCTATAACTATTTCAATGTATTTTTATAGATATTTTAAAAAGATTTAAATAATTTATTTAGATTGAGAAGATATAATATGCAAGTGGCTATATATGTGTCCAATTTATTTTTGTAAAATTATAGTTTTTTTTTTAAATTTAAACTATATAAAAAAATTATTGTTTACATTAATTATATAAATAAAATAATATATAAAGCTAAATTTTTTATTTTGGTATTTTGTAAATTACGTCTAAATTTTTTATTATAATATTAAGCAAAAAATCATATTTCCACGGAATATAAGATAAGAATCTATTTATTTTGATATAATATGTGTCCAATTTATTTTTGCAAAATTATAGTATTTTTTTCTAATTTAAACTATATAAAAAAGTTATTGATTACATTAATTATATAAATAAAATAAGCAAAAAATCCTATTTACAGATAAGAATCCTATTTATTTTGATATAGTATAAAAGTATAATATTTTTTTTTAATTGAAACTATATAAAAAAATTATTGATTACATTAATTATATAAATAAAATAAGCAAAAAATCCTATTTACACGACATCTGTATAAGATAAGAATCTTATTTATTTTGATATAGTATAAAAGTGTTTATTTTTGCAAAATTATAGTATTTTTTTTTATTTTAACTATATAAAAAAATTATTGTTTACATTAATTATATAAATAAAATAATATATAAAGCTAAATTTTTTATTTTGGTATTTTGTAAATTACGTCTAAATTTTTTATTATAATATTAAGCAAAAAATCATATTTCCACGGAATATAAGATAAGAATCTATTTATTTTGATATAATATGTGTCCAATTTATTTTTGCAAAATTATAGTATTTTTTTCTAATTTAAACTATATAAAAAAGTTATTGATTACATTAATTATATAAATAAAATAAGCAAAAAATCCTATTTACAGATAAGAATCCTATTTATTTTGATATAGTATAAAAGTATAATATTTTTTTTTAATTGAAACTATATAAAAAAATTATTGATTACATTAATTATATAAATAAAATAAGCAAAAAATCCTATTTACACGACATCTGTATAAGATAAGAATCTTATTTATTTTGATATAGTATAAAAGTGTTTATTTTTGCAAAATTATAGTATTTTTTTTTATTTTAACTATATAAAAAAGTTATTGATTACATTAATTATATAAATAAAATAATATATAAAGCTAAATTTTTTATTTTGGTATTTCGTGAATTACGTCTAAATTTTTTATTATAATATTAAGTAAAAAAATCCTATTTATTTTTTATTTTGGTATTTCGTGAATTATGTCTAAATTTTTTATTATAATATTAAGCAAAAAGAATATAAGAATCCTATTTATTTTAGAGTTGAAGAGGATCGGATTAAGCAAAAATCCTATTTATTAAGTATTTTATTTTAAACAATTAGGGAATGTATTCGAAGCAAAAGCCGAAGCATATAATGTTGTCAAGTAAGCTTCCGAAGCGTGCGAGACATCCATTTAGGCTCAACGCATTTTCAAATTATATTAAGAGGGGATATGCATAATTTCATATTCAGATCTTATATATTAAAAATAATATAAACTAAATATGACATTTAAATCATTAATATATACTATTATTAAAATACACACACACACACATATATATATATATATATTCACACTTTCATATTAAGATGTCTTACATTAAAAATAATAACACAAATAAGACATTTTAAATTTAAATATATAATTTGTACCGAAAAAAAAATTAAATATATAATATAAAGCCTAACAGAGTACTACTTCCATTTGAAATTTGTGTTTTCTTAATAACCAAATTAAAGATGAACAGAATTTGATCAATTTAATTGAATGAACAAATTAAATAATTTATAAAGAATATTAAAAAAATGAAAGAAGAAGAAAAAACATATGGTTGGTGACACTTGATCTGCCACTCGAACCCTTTTTCTGTACGTGAGAGCGATAGTTTTAAGTTTCAAAAAATTATTATATCATTAATTGACAATAAGATCTATATATATGGTCCACGAAGTAACTGTATAAATACTATAAATAACCAATAAAAACAATGAATAATATCGTCTACTAGAAAATGATTCCTATATTTATTCATAATGTATAACAGAATTTAGTTTAATTATGCCTGTTTAATGTTTTTATAAATTGATATAATCAGCACGTCAAGCTTGCCCACCAACAATTAATATATAAAAAAAACTGATATTAATGTCCCTATTTTGTATACAAGAAACATATCTTAAAACTGTTTTAATCATCATTATAGGTATTTATTATCTGCCATGTGAAAATTTATCAGTATCGTATCCTAATGATATAAATGTAAATATAACAAGTACTTATATAGTTCTATTCTCATGTGAGGCAATTTAAACTTTAATTATAAAATGTCGTAGTTTTGTTTATATTATATTTTAGATTATGACATTTAAGTTTTAAAGTAGCCAAATTTGTCGAAAAAGCTATAAGTGTCTAACCAAAAGTCAGTTTAACAACAATCTTACTATTTTACAAATAATTAGAAGTTCCTTTAAATGTAAGCGAATTATTTCTTAGAATGTAACAATA